GGAGCACATCCGGCGCGCGGCGCGGCTCCCGCGGCCGTCACGCAGGAGCAGGAGCGCAACGCGTTCCTGGAGCGCATCCAGGCCGAGGAGGTCCGCCGCGAGCAGGCCCGCATCGCGGCCGCGCGGCCCGTGCCGCCGCCGCCGAACCGCGCGACCGGCGCGGGCGACGACAGCGACGAGGGCTGGGAGGAGAGCGACGAGGACGATCCCGTCGAGGACCTCATCCACCGCGAGCGCATCCGCGAGCGCGACCTGCTGCGGACGCCCGGCTGCCTCGCCCTCGGCCGCAAGGCCTTCCGCCTCGAGGACATGCCGCGCGTCACGGAGCGCGACCGCGAGATCCTGCGGCGCGTGCTCTACATCCTCCGCGAGGCCGAGCGGTTTTGCGCCGGCGTCCGCAGCGCCCGTCGCCGGAAATGATTTGGGCCCCTCGACGCGCGCGATTGCGAGCTTCGACGCCTTCGAGGGGTTCGAGGAGTTCGCGTTCTCCGACGCGCGACGTTTTCGCAGGCGCAACTGCGGCGAGCTCGAGGTCCCGCGGCCGCGGGAGTGGGCGAACTCCGAGCTCGGCGACACGATGACGACGGAGGCGATCCGCGCGCGCTTCGACCTGCGGCGCGACGACGGCGTCTTTTTTTTTGTGTTTTCGCGCGTCTCGCGGACGACGTCTCGCCCGAAACGAGCCCGTCGTACGCGCGACGGCCGTTGATGTGGTCCGTTACGCGTCGCAGGCGCCTCCAGCGCCTCTTCCCGAACCACAACTTCCGCCTCTCGTGGTCCGTGCGCTTCAACGTCGTCGTCCAGACCATCGACGCGATCGCGCTCGACTCGAACCTCGAGCTCACGCGCGTCGACATGGAGGTCCGCCGCTCCACGGTCGGCGTCTACGAGGACTCGCTCGCCTGCCAGCTCCTGGGCCAGACCTACTACGTCCACCCGGACAAGACGATCAAGATCACGGTCGACCTCGTCGTCACGAGCGAGGTCATCGGCGCGTTCCCGCGTCCGCGACGGCCGTCGTTCCACGCGCTCGCGAGATCGTTTTCCCTCGCAGGCACGGCCCCGGGCCGCGCCGAGGTCCACATCAAGGAGCTGGGCTTCCACTTTGTCGACCCGCTTGCGCCCATCGCGGA